TACCAGTAACTCAGTAACAAAACAGTAAATTCATACTGCATTTCTCAGGATACACCTATGAGGCAGAGCAGAGCATTTTCTAATTAAACCTTGCCAGCAGGAAGCAAACTAAACAGATCATGCTGGCAGTACTGCTGAAGGAGTCCAGCCAGGATTAAAGAACCCCAGTAAGGACGTTAACCTGGGAATCAACTAACAAAAACCCTTTTCCACAACACAAGCCCACTGTGACTCATCATTAACACCTGTGGGCATCTCACAGCCAGCAGCAGGCAATTCAACACACCCTCTCTAGTTAACAGAAAATGGTGGAGACAACTGCTATTTAAACCAAGTTCAGAGTCATCAATAACGCTTCCCTCCGGCACTGTTAAGCACAGAGAATACCTCTGGTCTTAACGCCCTCATTAAACGGAACATTAAGTTTGTAAGTCATCAGTCACACAACAGGTGACAAAACACACCTATCAGAAAGCCCCCACTCCTTCCCTGTAAGCAGAAGCCCTTCTGCTACTGCTGAGTAGCTGAAGATTTGGCATGCTTGCACCTTCTCCATAAAGCTACTGACCCCCAGCAAAGAGGAACGGAGTTCAACGCAGCCCTTCTAACGGGAGGTCACGCACCCACAGCAACTTTACCATGCCTACCCTAGGAGTCACCCAGCAGTGACTGAACGCAGCTGGGAGCCCATGGATACCTGCAGAAAAAAAATGAGTTTCAGTGATGGAACTGACCTTAAGGCAAGGCTACAAGAAGCAAACGCTTGAGCACCTCCTCAGTTTTGTAACAAACAAAAGCAGCTAACGCATTCTGCCAGAACACACCAAGCCAGGTCCTCGTCACGCAGATCGCTGTTTGGCCAGCACGTCTTAAGGCCGCCCCCATGCCCAGCCCTGGGGACAGGTGCGCGGTTACCTTCGAAACTTCTAGAAGGCCACGAGGCATCGGGGTCGCTGTAGTTTCTGAAGCGGCCGCCAGGTGGCGCTGCAAACCCGCCCGGATCGCAGAGCCCGCAGCTGCACCGACAGGCTACCGTGATAACGGGCGCGTTGTGCGCCAGCACCGCAGCCATTTTGACGTCTCAACCTTCTTTCCCAGGCACGTTAACAGCACCCTGACGCCATTAATGGGAGCTCTGTTCTTTCCATCTCAGCTTCACTCATGTGTAATATCGGGCCCCAAAACTGGACAAATGAACCTTCCAAGTCCCAAGAACACAACACTCAACCTTTATTTTTAGTACCCAATGAGCCCAGCATAAAGATGGAAAAAACATAACTCAGCCTGAAGTCTGAGCCCCACTGTCTGCCAAACAGGCTAGGTTCTGAGTCCCCAATGCAAGTTAATTAGTGTTACAAGCTGTTAAAGGAGCCTTTTTGAAGCCTCTATTTCTTAACCCCCAAACCAGCAAAGTAAGGCTAGATCCAAGTTCTAAGAGCACAATGCTTAGTCCCACTTCTCAAGCCTGCAGAGCAGCACAATGCACCTGCTTTCAAACCCCAAGAAAGCAGGATTCAGCCTCCATTTTCAAGACTTAGAAAGACACCATTCAGTCCATTTCCAAACTCCCCAACCAGACACAGGGAGCAGCACAAAGTCCACCTGAGCCCCCAAGATAGGGCCAAAGCTCATAACCCACTCTCCCCACACTAACCTCAGCCACCAGGCTCCATCTGCTGCTGTTAGCACTGCTGCTTAACACCCGAGGAGCTGAAGAACTCTGCATTCGATACTGGGCTCCTGAAGCTACTGAGGAGCTGGCACTGGCTGTTATAACCTGAGACCGTTAGAAATGGCCACGTGCAGGCAGAGCCAGCAGGTGTGCCTCGTGAGCCTGATGGGCCATTGGTAACAGCTGTGGGGACAGGACTCGCCGTGGAGGCATGGCTGCTGGAGGCAGCACTGCGAGGGGTTTGTGTGGGAATGTTTCCTCTCTGCCTTTGCTCACCCTCAAATTGCTGTTTAAAGCTAAGGAGAGTTAGCCTGTTTTTGTTCAAAGGCTCTCCTGTAGCTAGAATAGTGTTTGGAGAAACCATCTCCTGTAAGGATCTGGGCATTCAGATAAAGGGCATGAATGACTGAGGTGGAAGGGTTCATGCTTCAAACACAGGAGTTAGCTGCACCAGCTGTTAAAAACGCTGCTTAAAATTTAACTCCATTTGCTTTCCAGATACTCTGTTGAACCTTTTTCAGTTGAAACTGGATTTTTTTACGTCGGCATGCGGTTCCAGTTCCAGGCACAGTAATAAATACTGCTCCAAGATTCTTCCTTTTTTCCTTTGGGATTTTAGATAAGTCTCTGTGTGAAAGAGAATTTGTGTCTCTCTCATCTGCTGCTGCTGCAGTTTTAACTGGAATTGACTTAATCACATTAAATTTCCTACTGATGTAGTCTCCATGTGTAATCCCATCTCTCTCAGAAAAAACTTATAAAAGTCAATTTAAAATCAAACATGAAAGAATCACAGCTGGAGGAATGAGGGGACTATGGCTGCAAATACATGGCAGGGTGAGATGGTTCATTCAGCTCCCCAGATTTTCTGCTGAAAACACTTTCTACCTCTTCTACAAGGTTTTCTCAGCAGCTCTGGTAAACTTCAAAACTAGCACAGGTGGAGGGCTCATTCTCACAGGTGTTCTTCCAAAATGCTAAGTATTCTTATTTTACCTTTGTTTTTTTTCCTCCCAGATGAACACACAGAAAGCGTATTTTCTTCACAGATGAATTATTTGCATTGTTAGTTGCAAAATCATGGCAGGCATGGGCTGTGCTATTGAGTTGGAGTGAATGTTCACAAGCACTGACAACTCTTTCGGGTGGACTTTGTACAGTAATGTCCCAAGACCACCTACACTCAGCAAGGATAACAGCAGTTCTTTAAACCATTTATCCAGAGAAAGAAACAGATCCCTTACTCAGTAACTTCACACCACTACTAATATTTTTAGTTCAGATGCTTTAAAGTGTGCTTTATAAAAGTAAATTATGGATTTAGAAATAGTAAGTTGTCTACAAGCAATATCTCATTATTTGTATGGCAACTAAACATTTGTAAGGAAATATGCATGTAAATGCAGAGTGATTGTATTTTATTGTTGGGGTAGAAAGGGAACCTCCTCCCAGTATCACAGGCTGCTCTAATTACATGCTGATTTTTTAGATTACTTTCACCTGCATGCATCATTTCTTCCACGCATAAAAAAACAAGTATATACACTATCGCATCAGCAGGTGAGATCTGTCTATCAGGACACTATAATCTCTGCTTCCAGAGAATAATGCAGTGCAAAGGTATTGATACTTCATATACTAGCAGAGGATAATAAACACCTTAGAATGACAGATTAAAATAGTCTGCAGCAGCAGTGTAATCCAGCAGCCTGGGAAATGGAAACACAGCCTTCTTTTGAAGCTTTATTTGATTAGAATGAGTCATGCCATGCCTCGGTACTTCCATTTTCCTCCACTACTTAAGACTATGTAATAAAAAAGAACTTGAAAAAGTTGAACTTAAAGTCCATTTCTATTTCCTCCTTTCTGAAAAGTGCACATGTACTTGTCCATGACAGTGCTTTCTCCTGAAGTCTTTGTGTGGCAAATGGAAATCAGTGTATGGCATGCTTGTTTTGTGGCAGAGCACAGTCATGCTGCATCTTAGAGGGAGGGAGAGAAGAACATGTAGAAGTGGCAGAGGTGGTATCCTATGATACCCTGACCAACAGTACTCTGCTGAAGTCCTCTCTAAACTCTTGGGAACCAACTACTCAGTCACCAGTATTGTTTTCTTATGCATTATTTCAGCAAGTCAGCTTGCCCTGAAGCACAGATTTGCTGTACTCCCTTCAAGATGAGTTCAGATACGGTACTCTGCAACAGGAACACTCCGGAGTTCCTAGAATTGATTCAAAGCAGAAATCATCCAGCAGCAAATCTTTTATCTTTCAACTTTTTTCCTTCTGTATTCCATCTTTATCAATGCCATATTCAATTTCACACTAACTATGAACACCTGTTTCCAGAAAGGGCTGGCATATTTTTCTTCACGATGTCATATACTCAACTCTGCTTGGTCCTTGCTATCCACCTTCTGAGTGAGTACATGGGCGTGCCTCTCTATTCAATGTATGCATGCATGTCCTGGAGAAGAATTTTTGTTACAATGTTAGACTTTTGTTCAGGAGGAACTTCCCAAGTGTTGGAAAGTCACAGGAAGCACTCAAAAGACAGACGTAGCTATACAAGTTCTTTCTGCAGCATGCATCTTCAAAGCAAAGGCTGAGGTTTCTGTAAATATGCTGTTTCAAATATTTCAAATCTGAGAAAGTGCTACACGTGCACACGACTGCAGAAATCTGGGCGAGTTGCGTATGTGTATCTGACAAGGGAGTTTTAATTACGTTGCTTTTAGCCCCTCTTCACTAATGATTCATTCCACTTCCTCAGTGCATCAGGAATCTGGAAACACCTGAATGTGTTTAATCTACTCTGAGGGGCATAGGGGATTAAGCAAACCGCTCAGGAACTTTCAAAATGCATTTACTTTGACTCAGAAACCACTCTTCAGTTTTAAACAGCTTTTATATCCTATTGTCAGTGATTTTTATTAGTACCTCTTCCACAAGTCACACGAACCTGGAAGTGTTTTAAACCTGTTTTCCAGACATAGACATGGTGAAGGCAATTGTTTTTCCTCAGAAAGAAGCACAAGCCTCCGCAGAGGGCACTGAAGTCCCTTGAGCCACCTGCACTGATGTTAACTCTGTGAAGTACATGTTATAAAAGAACATTGTGTAAAGAAAATTTTGTTCTGCACATTCAGTTTTGTTAATTCTAAATTACAAAAAAAAAAAAAAAAAAAAGTAATGGGTTTTGAAGATACAACATATGAAGGGAAAAGAGCTTTTTTCTACAGAGTGAAGTTTGGGGATGTACGTATTCCTTCATTTTGTAAAGGATAAAATAACAAAATCATGGATCAAAACAGAAAAAAAAAAAAGCCTTATTATCTTAAAGATTTTATTGCTACATGCTCCCCAGTACAACAAACAGGATCAGTAGTGTACACTTTAATGAAAGAGAAAATAGCTTGGTAGAAAAGAAAGCAAAAAGGTACAATGATTATCTACACCCACATTGTATATATGTAGAAGATAAAGACAGAGAATTTGACTTTTTGGAAATTTCCAAGTAATAAAACACACCCTATTTGTCTGTTTGAGGCTCAGGGATTGTCTGTACACCATATTTAATACTAATTTCTTTGACCTTCAAAAGCCTTGCAGAAAGGTAGCAGCAATTCTTTAGAGGTGGTGAGTAGGTACTACAGTGGGTTAGATAATGCACATCACAGTGTAAGATGCGCAGTGACCCCATACTTCCTTGAAAAGGATTCTTCTTAAATTTCATTTACAATAAAAGTCTTCTGACAACAGTTTTCATCCTTACCTTATCCTAGTGATTATGCATAATCACCTCAGAAGTTTCTTTCCAGAATTTAATCTTTGGAGTCCTAATTTGGAATGCTACTGTTTTATAGTAGGTTATAGGTACACATCCGCTGTTCTGTCAAATAGGGCAATCATGAGAACTTCTTATGGGGAAACAAAAATTGCACATGAATATTTAATATCTCACTTTGAAATTAAAGATGCTTGTAATAAAAAAAAAATTGTCACTTTTTTTTTTTATTATTTTTAACAATAAGATCAACAATTTCTCTACAGTAGTTTAGTTAGCTTAAATTTCTGTTCTATCCATATGACATAGCATGTACAAGTATCTAGTTACATCTATTTTATCTTGGCAAAAAGGATAGTCAACTGCCCTTAGTGTAAATATTTAGTACATAAAATACTATCAAGAATTCAACTTTTAATAAATATCTTTAGTTCTCAATCCTATATACAAGTACTTTACAGCAACACACAGGAGAGAGTGTGATTGGATGGACTGTGAACAAGATGGTTATTGACATAAATTACTAGTACATTATTGCAGTCAGATGCATTGTGCTTGTGGAGATTTTGAGGTGAACCATGCTGAAAAATAAATATCTCTCTCACCTTTAAACCAATGCTTCCAATAGGAAAAAAATCTTTTAAGTCTTGCCACAGCTATTTCTTCTTAGTGCTACCACTATGATGCTTTTTTAGCTTCATTAAAAACAGCTGGATCATCTGGAAAACACAACTTTTTGACTTGTGAATATTACAGTACTTACAGTATATACATGGTTTCCTACACTGGTCTGACCTCTCAGGCAAGAGCAGACTTAAGGGACAGCACTGCAACTCCTAACCAAAGCAGTGCCTGCTCAGTGTAGGCTGCAGGTCTCAGTGTTCGTTTCACAGGCACATAAAAGCATTTTTCCAACCTGTGACTGGAATTACGCTAAAATGTCTAAACCGACTTTTAATGGGCAGGTGGCAATAAGCAGACTCATACTTTTAGAATTATACTTCTTTTTTCCCCCTCTACTTGAAAAGAAAGCATCACATTGTTGATATTAAAAAACAAACAACAAACTCTTTCCTAGTATCAGTAGATGTAATTCATATGAAAATGGAACTTATCCTTTTATGACAATGCTGCTTAAAAAATCAACTTGTGGAATGTAAATAAGGCAGTACTCAATGGCAGGCACCTAGCAGTTGTCCAGAATGTAACATAGGTAAACGGTTGTCTGACAGCACAAAACTCTTAAAAATAATACTGATTTTCTGCAATATACAGTATTTACACAACAGCTGCAAATTTGCTCATACAATATCCATTTATATAGATAAATTAGCAAAACAAGTCTTATTAATTCAGTTGTTCCACTGCAAAAGTATTTTGTATCATGTAAACGTTTGGTACTTCTTGTAGTGGGGTGTTTTCTACATGTGAGTGTTTAAAAACAAAAATCGTGAGGTGACTACTGAGGACGTGGCCACTTTCCCTGTACTAAAGCTTGACCGATGTCCTCGGCAACTTTTGTGCACTGTTAGGATTATTCTTTGGTGCTTTCCTCCAACGCATTCAAGCTAAGCAGATGACACAGTATGGAAGGAGGGACGGGAAGCAACTAGAAAGTGAACCAGCACTTCTTGTTCTTTGTATTTACAAGGAGAATTAGTTGATGATCTGCAGCGTCCTGCTCGTGGATGCGCCGTAGTGTCCAGAAGGGAAACACAAAGTGAACTAAAGCTTCTTTCTGCAACTATTCTCCATGTGGCATTCACATTCATCTTTCCACAGTGGAGGACCTTGAAGGCCATCTCTTGTCAATTTGCCTCTCACTCTTCTGTGAGGTTCTTGATGGAGAAGGAGCACCCACTGCGGTGTTATTAGCTGACACCACAGGAACAGCTGCGACCAAAGCAAGGTCATTTGGAGGACCAAGATTGCTACTGTTGGCAGGTGGCTGGTGGAACAAAGCAAATAGCTTCGAAGTCTTGGTTGCTAGAGGAACTCTCCGTTGTGGAAACTCAGCACCCTTAGGCTTTGTGTTTGACTGGAAGACGTGTGTATCTGTATCCTCTTCTGCGAAATGAAGCCTGCCCAGGCCCCTTCTCCCTGGCAGGAACTCTGCATAATGGGGGACTAAAGGCGTTGGCATCACCAAAGCTCTAGGCAAATCACTTTGATCAAACATCACTTCCTCCTCAGTTTCAGCAGCTTCAGTAAGGAATGGTGGTGGGAGAGTGCTGCTGCGCTTGCTGCAGGACTCACAGCACAGCTTGTTGTAGCCAGGGATGGAACAGTAACGTGCAAGCACTTCCATCTGACAGAAGATAGATTTGTCTCCCATACAGGGCTCATCTGCAAAACAAATGCAATGCTGATTGTACATCTAATGAAGAGCACTGAAATACCTGTACAGCATTTAGATGGGCACTGATAAAATAATGCCTGTTTCCAAAATAATGGGCTAATCTGAGATGTTTCATCCATGAAAGAACTCACCAAGCCCCAGAAAATAAATCATCCCCTTTAAAGAGGCAGCTTTGTGAACAGCAACAACAAAAATCATCAGTTACTTTGAAAATGTTGGCTTCTGTGCAGACCAGTAGCAAACAGAAGAAAGTCATGTTTGTGGAGGGCTACAGACAGCAATTAACAGTGCTAACTCTCCAGTACCAGTCATTCTATCTGCCCCAAATCTAGCCTGAGGATATTATCTATCAATAAAATTAAAAACTGTTAAATCTTCCTTTAAAGAAATCCCAAGCAGTCATTTTGGGAGGAGTTGGATTCAGTGATCCTTGTGGGTCCCTTTCAACTTGGGATATTCTACAATTCCATGAACTCTCAAAGATGCCTCTTGCATAATCTCTTAAAATAAAGCGTTAGAAACTTTTCTTAGTTTTTCAGTGACCCAAACATAAATGGAGAACTGATGGAAAGCTTGTAACAAATAGGTCAGATGTAAGATGCCTTCAGATCATGTGAGGCATTCCTTTCAGTCAGCAAAAGAAGACTTCTTAAAGAAGTCAAAGTTGTACTTGAGATCTCAGAAACATCAGTCTTTTTTTGAGCATTTGCTGGATACTTGTGTTGTACAGATAGAGACACAGTCACGCTGGTCAAAAATGGTAGAGAGGAAAATCTTAAAACACAATAAGTCAGAAGAAATGTAAGACTTTTATACTGAATATAAAAGTATGTTCGTACCCAGACTTCTTTGGTGTGATCCATCCTGGGAACTCAAAGGCAAAGTTCTAAGTTTTAGTGTCACTTGAACTGGGACAAACATTGAGAGTTTCTTAGCACTTGAGAGTTGGTGGCAATATTGAGCATTTATGTTTTTAATCTTGCTATCTGTTGTACCAACTATACCACCTAAATCAGGTGCAAAGGCTTTAGCAGCAGTCCCGAATGAGATGAATACAAACATGTAACACTTCCCAGGACAGAAAACCAGCAGTGAGGACAAATAAATTGCTTGGTGCATCCATTAACTATTCAAATACTTTAGGGAGAGACTAGCAGGACGTTTCCATTAACAGGCTTTTCCTAAGATATCACAGTTTATTTGTAATGGTACTGATGGATTTTACTTAAAATAGAAGTATGCGAAACCATAATGTAAATGGCCAAAAGCTAACTCTGACCATTGAGAATATCTGTTCCATATGTGTCTTCCATTCATAGTTAGCAATTATTCAGTCAACATTTCAGTGAGCAACAGATGGCACGTAATGCCACTTATTAAGCTCTGAAATTAAATTAGCCTTCTGTACTGTGATATTTTCTCACTAGTATAGATGTTGTCTTACCACATGTCAACAGTATGTTAGGCAACCAAGTTTTCCTTTTTTTAAATATTAACTGTAGTCCAACCCCTCAATCAGTATAGATCAGTTTAATTGCACTGAATTCAGTAAAATTACACACTTGCATCAGTGGGCTTGTGGGATGCTGTTTATAAATACCAAATTATATGAGTTCAGCACATAATATAATTTTTTTCCTTGCTCCTAGTCCTGATGTGATTCCTTGGATAGATGTTTATTGGTTCTCGACAAACCTGAGTTAAACCTGCAGATTTGCCTGAGAATATATGTAGTCCATGAAGGCACTGTAACACTATTTTCAGTAAGAATTAGCATGGTAAATTCAAGGGCTACATTCAAAATTCATCTAAACTAGAAAAGCTAATATTGAAACACAAATCTTTGCATCGTATATAGAGTAATAATTGTGCTTCCATGTAAATGAGATCTGATCTGGAAAATTATGACAGTCATCATATATACACACTCTAATTTATATCTATATACAAGTGAAATAAATATTATGACCTAAAGTAACAAACAAACCCAAAAAAGAAAGAACCAAATGATTATTTTTGCACTTTCATAATGGCAGTTCTTCTCATTTCATCCTGTTCTCTAATGGCTAATTTTTGTGGTATTGATTTGCAATAGTTTTGATTTTGTGACTCAAATGATAGTGCAAAGATTTGGTTTTGTACTTATCTACTTCCAGTAGGTTCCATAAGTACAATCTTGGAGCTATATACTCACATAATCCCTTTTTTTTATTTTTTAGGTTAACTCTGCACAACCTAGTCAACAATTTCCTATTCAGTATGGAAGTGCTTGTATCCTTCTGCTGATGTTCATGGTAAAAATTCTCCTTCTCACAATTTGTTACTTCCTTCACGGTAACTAAGAGTAGAAGACACAAGAAGGTTGTATCGGTTCTCTAGTGAATCTGTAGAAGATGAAGCTAGTAATTTAAATTGATGCAAAAATTTCACATTACATTTTAGGAGTGACACAGTTCTTACAAAAAGGATCAGTGTAATTGTACATTCAGTGGGATGCTGGGTGAGAGCATCCCCCTGAGAAATCTTGCTTTGAGCTGGAATCTGATATTTGGGCACTAATATTTGAAACAGCAGGTGGATATTTTTGCATTCTGAATCAAGAGTTGCAAAGAGATAGCTTGTAAAAAGACTATCCAAGGACCTGTTCATCAATTTGTACGAGTACAATGAAATCAGTTTTTGTAATCTCTGCTGAGGCATATGACTGAAGTGGTGGCTCTTCTCTTTTACACAGACATGCATTTTCTAATGAAATGGAAGATGTAGGTTAATGTGCCTCATACTGCAGGAAGAATCACACTGAGGCAAATGTTCATCACAGTTCCAGTTGGATTGAATTCTCAGCAATTTTGCATTTATACAATAAATCATTTGTCAAAAACATCTGCTGTAGACAAATATTTTGCTATGTCTAATGCCCCAAAAATCAAAATAGTAATCAAAGCTATACAAACTTAAAAATAAACTACTACCACACTTTCCATGCATAAAGGGTTTACCTACATAAATATTACAGAATAATATTCATATTTTAGCTATGTTCTCCCTAAACATAGAGTGCAACAGAAACCACATTAAAAGAGTGTGGTGAAAAAGACAGACTATTTGGTCTGAAAGAATACTGTCAGCTACTTAGCGCAGAGGCAGAAAATGCTTATGCTTGGTAAAAGCTACGGCCCAAATTCCTGAGCAGAATAGAAAGGTTTGCACTCACAGATGCTGGTATAATGTGTCTAAGGAGCAGAACCCACAAGGTACCCTGTGGTTTTGTCAAAGGTATGAGGGACTTGGCTGGATGCAGCTGCCCTTATATTAACATTTTTATTAAGACCAGGTTGCGCTGTAGGTTTGCAGCAAGGCCAGATGGATCAGTACATTTTCTTGGCCATTACATTTTTATTTTTATTTTTTAACTGCAGCATGGAGTTCTATATCCTCTTTCCTTAGGGAATGAATCTAGCGTTTCAGAAGCCTGGTAAGCAACTGCAGTACTTAGACATGACCACATAAATCCTTCCTTCAGTGGGGCAAGTAAGATGGGTTGTGCATTAAGCATCTAGAAATGAAATAACAGAGTTTTAACCAGTGTGATTCAGGAGCAATGGTAGAGGGCATGTATAAGGCCATCTATTGCTTATCTCCCATATTAGCAGATACTTAGTCTAACATGTCAGTGGCATTTGGCTCTGACTATGACTGTGAAAGAGACACAGTAAGAGGGTTTGATGCCTAATTCTGAAAGGCTGGAATTTAACACTGGCCATTAAAGAAAATCTCAGCTGATGCTTAAAATACAGATTCTTAAAGCTGATGCTAAAGCACAAGATCAAATCTATCTGAATCGTTTTGTGAAGATGTAGCCCTTATTTTAGCTTTGGAAATATTTGTATCACCAGTGAAAAATCAGTCCACAATGAATAAATAATTTTAAATCTGCTACTTGTTTATAAAGTCACATAGTGATTTGCTCCCACCTAGTGGATACAGAATCTCTTAACTGTTCACTGCTCCCAGAATCATTTCCTCCCTTAAGTCCTTTCACTGGCAACAGCAGAAAACAAATAAGAGCAAAGCATACTTTCACTAGACTTGTGGCAAGCAGTTACATTCAATCTGTAGGAAAACATACTGCACTTTCTAAGAACTCTTTTTTCTATTTTTTCTACCAGCCAGTGGTCAGAATATTAGGGCTATTGTGAGGGATTAAAAAAAAACCCAAAATCTAATAAAGTTAACGGCTCAAAGGAACAAAGACTTTTTTGTTGTTCATAAAAAGATTAAAAAACTGTTTAAAAAATTCTATGAAAATAATGTAATGAAATTCCTAGGAATCCTATTAATACCTTACGGCTCAATGTTTTTGTATTTGTATTTTCATTTCTTTAATTGGCCTCATGCTGGGATCTAGAGGTCAAGTAGGATCTACTTGGGACTGACCTTCATCTCTAGCACAGATTTTTGCAAATACAACTTAGGCTAACATGTCCAGCCCCCTATTTCCCCTACGTTACAAGAGAGGGCCCCAATCTGTGAGAAACACAGATCACCCTGAGTTAGAATATCAGTATTGTGCTGGACTGAAAAACAAGGCACCATTAGCTGGAATAAAGCAGGGGGATCACCAGTGAATGATATATGTTCTAGCATGCAAGAAGTAAATTGTGTGGTTGACACCTGATCAGTGTAGTACCTTTAAAACACAGTAGTGTACAAATTTGGTACGTACACTATCTGATCATACGCACAGGCTCTGACTCATCTTAGAAACCAGTACACAGAGAAACAGTAGGTTCACCAGGTAGAACTGAAACTTCAGGCAGGATTAAATAAAGTGTATTATTTTTCATCAGAGTTCACTCAAGTATGAAATCTAAGTCTCTAACCCTGGAACCGTACTATGCACTGACACACTGCACTGAGACAGGAAGGGTTACTCTCATTTGCTGCAATCAGTTTGTTTCCTTACCATTACAGGGAGGGAGTTTACAAACCCTCACTGATTCTGGCTTTTCTCCATCGCAATGGTCACCAGCACGGCATATGATCTGCCGGGTCTCGGTTCCCTCCCCACAGGTCACAGAACACTATGAAACAGACACAAGACAATTCAGGGTATTTCACAGCAATGTGCAATAGTTAATGTGTCTAAAATAGCCCAGGGCTGGTTTTCACATCAGGCTATACATTCCAGCAGTTTGTTTTTGAGAGCAGCCTTTAGTGAAGGCTGACATTATGGAAAAATATGTCAAGAAAGAGGATAGCATTTTCATCAGTCCTTGCTTTTTGCAATATCAAATTTATTATTAGAATATATTATAGATTTTTCTTCTTAGTCTTCCTATAGCTTATTACTTGACAGTGTAACAGAAAGAGAATAAAAAAGACTATGGAATTCTAACTTAGTGTTCACTGCGTTAGCTGTAGCATTCAGGTGTTTGTTCCTATGACATCAGAGGAATATTAACACTTACAGAAACTCTGTGATTCCAGTGCAAGTCCACACTGGTATAAAAAAAAAAAAAAGTTATGCTATCCTCAGAATTGGGGAAACGAAACGTTGGAAAGTTGACAGAAACAAAATATCTACGTTTGTTCAGCAGGATTATGTATTTGACACTGGAGATATTTTCAGAGTTTGTTCCTAGAGAATTTGGGAGAGCTATAGAAGCCCAAGAGCCAGGAAGACATTATCTACTGCTGATTTTCACATTTTTGGAGATCTCTGACCAGTGCAGGCAGGAACGTTCACCACAGGCACAGCTCCAACATCAGAGGTGTGAGGTGCTACAAAGGTTCATGACTCGCTCACAATTGCTGCTTGCCTACCTCAGACCAGGGCCCAGCTTTCCACTGCGCAGGGCATGGTACTCGGTTGCACGGCCTGCGACTTTCAGGGCGATCTCCACTACAGTACTTGAAATGGACAGAGCGGTTTGCACCATCATGAAGGGGCTGAATGCAACGCACAGTGCGGATCTGGTAGCCTGAATTCCCACAGGTTTTTGTGCAATATTCCCATTCATCTGCTGCCCACCTTAAAAGTAAAAAAGGAATTAAATGCCTTCACAACTTTTACCATTATCCAAACTGCTGCCAGTTCAGTCAGTTCTTAGCATGTTGTTTTTTGTTGCATTTTTTTGGGGATGGAGGAGGGAAGTGAGGAGGAGGGGAAGGGTAGGGAGGATGAAAACACTCAGCAAGATTGTACAATGGTTAAAAAAAAAAACACCAAAAAAAAACACCAAAAAAAACCAAAGCACATCCATTACGTAAGATCTCCAATCTAGAAAGCTATTAGTACCATACCAAATTTGGCTTACGCTCATTTTCACCCCTACCACAAGGAGCAATCATTTGTATTCTTACGGATGACCAACTTACAGAGGCCGTGTACATTCCTGAAGATTGCACATTCTACGAATTGGCTTTGGCTTTTTGCTGGCTTCACAGAAGCTGCGATGAACCATTTTGTTATCACTCTTCCTGCGGCACCCATATTTGGTATACTGGAATCCTGAAAATATTTCAGAAAAATTAGGAAAAGCAGACTCTTGTTAGAAATGTTTTTTTAAAATATAACTTTCAAGTACGATTAAATAGTTTTACATGACAGATATTTACAAGGTATTAAAACATGCTCACAATTTGTTCCGTTGTCAGGCATAATATTGTTGCAGAGTGCTGTTTGGATGTTGTTTAAAACATGGCACTATGGCAGATTTATAAGGCCGGAAGTGACTCTAGGACCTTTTAACCTCTGCACTGCACACAAAGATCATGGTACGGAGAGGGAAGAAACTACCTCCTTAACATCAAGCAGCAGGTTACTTACTAAGTGGGGAATTAACTCAAGACCCAGGTCATGTTTTAGCATTCTTGCTACTCAAACTACTTGCTCAACTGCTCTACATAGGAGTTAAAGTTAATTAGAAATTTACATTACCCATTATTTGCATAGGAATAACACACTGTAAGCAAAGTGAACAATCAGTAGCAAAAAATGGCTGAGTGCATGCTTTCAAAGTGACCTCGGTGCTGAATTTAACAGCTAAAAAGGACTACTTCTTTCTAGGCTGGAAGTGACACTTTTGAATAATCAGACACTTTTATAGATATTTTAAGTTTGGGCACCCAAAATAACAAGCTGTTTCTAAAATGGAAGCTCAAGATTTCTAAAGCATTCACTTCCCCCACCTTTTACTCTTCCACTTCTGGTAATTTGTCATTACTAGAGGGTGCTACATCATCTGTTTACCTCCACCACAGGGTTTGGAGCACTGTGACCAACTTTTCAACGCCCACTCAAAAGTATCTATTTCCTCCTGTAGGACGTTGTTGCTGTTGATAGTTGGTACTGAATCCTCGTGAATGATGTATTTGTAAGTCAGGCTAGATCTTGTGTCATTCTCCCGAGGAATGATCTATTAATAATCAAATGCAAACAGTGGTAGAAAACCAAAGCTATTATTTATTCTGTTGCAGAGTAAAGAAAGTACAGCCTCCTAGGGAAACATGCAAACTGCTGGTTAACTAATTGGGAAAAAAAAGGTTTTCTTTTTTATCTTCACAGCTATAACTAACAACAGTAAGATCAACAGAGCTGTTTAAAATGAGATGTCTTTATAATGCTAGATTTATTCGCTGGCCAAATAGAACACCTCTACCTAGGATGAAATGATGCTGTGGCCCAGTGATCTACTTGGCAAGAGAGCAAACAGCGTTTGACATGTAATGCCTGTTTTTGTCCAAAGTGTCCCACTGACATCTGGGAACACATTACTGCAACATGAACAGACAGCATTTTACCAAGGAGAGTAAAACCTAATGAGAAAAGGGCTTTAGCCTGTCAGCTGTTCCATCTGCATAGGTCTTTCAGAGAGGCATTACACAGCAATGGTAATGGTCTAATCTTGGCACAATCTCCATGCTGGCCATGGACTTCTGTAAAAGACAAAATCACTGTGTTCCCACTGCTTGGCATACTACTTACCAGGACAACCACTGCATCATGCAAAGGCCCATCAGTGTGCAGAGTTTCTATGTCATCTTCTATATTGTATTCCCATTCCACACCCAGGTCGATGAAAGATCGGGATCTGGCCTCCTCCCCCTTTCCATTCAGAATATAGTGCCCTGTAGCCTGGTTCTTAATTGCTGAAAGGATTGAAAAGAGTGACAGTTGTGCCTCTTATCATACCATCTCCAGTCATGAAGGCTTATGTGAAACTTGTCAGGAGACATCACAGAAAGCCTCTTGAACAAACCAGCTAGTGCTGTAGATGCACTTGCACAGAAATAGGCCCTCCAAGGCCAACCTATGTAGCCTTCACATTCCAGGCTGATGACAAGTGCATCTGAATATTTGATTCAATTTTGCATCACCTTATTCATATGAATTAGGTACAGAAAGTACCTCTTCACATGTAGTACGTATGTTTTCCGTACTGGCATAGCTCCCAGGAAGTACAGTAGTAGCAAGAAACTCAGGTCAAATCCTCCAAGTCTCTTGTCCTCCTTGTTTGCAGAAGACCAAACCCAACACTACTGAGAACTCCCCTTAGTGTAACAGACATCTCAGCAGACTACAGATGCATTTTTTATATTCCTCAGATTATAAAAGTGACACCTTTTTTCACACTTCAGTTTCTTCAGCATATGTATGTGCCAGATGCTAAAATGAATAAGCAGAGTCAAGGCATTCAAACCTCTGGGAAACTGTTCCTGCAACACATTTTGCAAATCAGGTTCTGTAGGGATTGGATTACAAGCTGATAAATTAGAAATCTAGAAAAAGACTTTCATTACTTTCTTTTCTACATCCCTTTCTAAATCACCATAAAACATTTTAAAAATATTTAAACATTTAATTTAAATTTAAAAATATGCCAACATCTTACATGCTCCTATTATTATAGCAATCAAAATGCAAGAGTTTTGCAGTGTACCTACTTAGAAATGTGATAAAACTACTTACTACCAAAACAAAATGATTCTCTCAGGGGTACTGTCACATTGTGCTTGGTCCAAATTGAAGTTCTCAAACCTCAAAAGCCAAGAATTTTTCTCTCTGACATTATCACAGCCTCAACTATTTCCTCTCTTCTGCTTTGTTTTTTAAATTTCTTTTTCTGTTCTTACTAATTTTTTAATAACAGATATAACTCTGCCAGAAAAGTTTATAATTCAGACACTGCCAGGGCAGATAAAAAACTGATTAAATGTATGTCAAAATCAATGGAAGACCTCATCCCTTCAGTGTAAGCTAAAAATCCCTTAAGCGTTAGACAGCAATAAGTAGCAATTTACAGACTGATATAACAATATATGATCTTTCCTTCAAAAGAAAAATCCAAAATGAAAGGGACTGAAAATACATCACAAGTTTCCCAATCTTCTTTTCATGAAAAAAGCTGTTGTTTGCAATCTGCAGCAAATAAGATTGTTAAAGATACTGAATTGAAGATACTGAATTCACATATTAAAATGCAACTTTTTTACCTTGACAGTATCATTTAAATAAGAGTGATGAGAGTCTTTTATTAGTAAACATGCAAATTGGGATCAGTCTAATATTTTGAGGAATTCATATGAGAAGTAAATTTCATTACTAAGCTTACATCGTCAATCTGTAACATGCGATTCTGAATGCAGAAATTTACTACTTTAGTTTGGTTCTCATTTCTCAGGTTCTTCTGCATGACTCCTCATGCTTCTCATCATGCCTCAAAGCCAAACCTGAGGGAGGAACTTACCAAGAAAATGAGGAGAAGCCTCGTCTTCTTGGATAAACACATGTCGAGCACCAGGAGGGATGTCAAACATCTTAAGGTACCCTTTGGCATGTGTAGTAGTCAATGGAGAAAGCAGAGGAGGAAATAAAAAGTAATAGCCATGGTTAGGAGTGCTCTACATTATTCAGCTTCTACTTGCAGAAAGGGGCATCCACCAACTGAGAAGCAGTGTCAGAAAGAAACTGATCAAATAGCTTTGTAACGTATTTGACAGGACCTCCTTGTGTTTTTCCTCTTTCCAGGAGTGAAGAGAAACCAGTTACAAATCTATTTGTCTCTTGATTAGCTATATTGCTATAGGTCATATTGATTAACAATTCAGGCAAAAAAAAATGTTTCCAATGTTTCTGAGTGTACAAGGAAGAAGAACGATTCTTCCTGATTATTTTTTTCCAAATCACTCATCAGCCAGGCTGTGGGATTTGAGTTTACTTACTGTACTGATACACATATGTCTCTTCAGTGTGTCTGTTTACCTTCGAGACATCAGTGATCTTGGAGAAAGGTGGATGTAGTAGATTGTATTGTCACTACACATAAGGAAGGGCTTGTCTACATGGAAGTTAATCCAAACAATTTAAAACTACAGATGTAAAATGTATTAATTCAAGTATTACTGCTGAAATGAAATGGCTGATTTCAACTCTATGCAGTTAAGAATAAAAAGCTGTCCACAAAGACAGTAATTCATATTTTACATTTCAATCATTTATCCGTCTAAATGATTAATGTAATGTTCAGTATGTCATTCTGTCATTCAGGAAGACTAAAATCCATCTTGAGAACTTGTCAACAGTCACTTCTATTGCAAGTTTTAAACAAGAGCTTCACAAGCACTGATGTGAATCTAATTAATTTGATGTAAGGATGCAAAACTCTGAGTGTATGGCACTTTCATATTTCTGTATTTTCCCTTTAATGTCTGCATATTCAGTTATGACAAATCTCTTTAGATCCATTTTTAAAGAACAAAGTGCCACATATGTGTAATTTCATGGATTTGGCTGATGAGAGTCTGCAAAAACAGCATTCAGTGATCTTTTTACTGTCCATCTTTTGAGCATATGAAACAAAGATTTTGCCTGAATAGGTGTTATGTGTCAGTGCCTTTTTGGAGATGAGAACTGCAGCAAGAACTCTCCAGTTGCCATGGATGCCTCTTTCTGCAAGCACTTGAACTTACCCAGAGTATTTTTAGACTCCTTTGTTTCAGAAAGGGAAATATTGCGAGCTCCTTTGGGCAATGTAAATGCTCCTCTCGTCTTCCCTTAAATAGAACGTCTATAATTAGTGTTATGGGAGCCAAGTCTTGCTATTTCATTGACTGCATTGTCAGCCAGATGGTCTTAACAAATATAAAGTATAATTTACATTATGTGTTCAAATGCACTTAAAGCAGCATTAGACACATCTAGCAATTTTTAACAGTCAATGAAATTTAGACCACTGAAAATTCAGGTAGGTGATTTTAAGTTGGATACTTGCAGATTTCATTTTCCAGAAACTTGAATTCTTTTTGGCACCTCTTGCTTAAATGTTTTCCTGTTGGAAGAGGTCAATTAGTTTTTTTAATAACTAGACTGCCACAGATACTGTAAAACAATGAACATTTCATAAACGCTTTCATTAACATTTGGAAATGGCTTACTAATAGCAGTATTTTCTGAACTATATTTCTAGTACTCTCTATCACTTAGACGTAGCACTTTCCAGACACTGAGAACACTGTGAAAACACCCAGTAACGTGCTGTCACCTTAGAAGACAATGCAGTTACTCGGTGGTTCCCAGGCAAAAATACTGAGCCACTACATTATGGGGTTAGTATTATATTTTGCCCTCTGTTGACCTCTCATTTGCCCTGTTATCTCCTAGGGAGTAAGCCAAACCTCAAGCTTAGGCTTGTACATCAAATGCAAGCTATAATTTGTAAACCACTGCTATAGAATACAGAAACCAGATGCACCAGAAAAAACTCTACTGGACTGGATCCAGAATTGTGACATGAATATTCCCTCTGCCCCCAAAAGTACAATCATTTACTTCTAGTGAAAAAGATTAGAAATATGCTTAGAAGGCCATGCACTAATTTCTGCTGATTACAGTTTGGTTTTTTTTCTGTTTTCAGAAAAGCACAGTGACTGCCAGCTCCAGAAACACACAGGCCTGTATAAGAGGCTCAAATTATAATCTTCATTCCATTACTCCCCACATCACAGTAATTCTTGTGTAATTTCATGTCTAATCCACCAGTTGCCTTTATCGCTTTAAGAAAGGTCCTCTAATGGCACTTGCAGCTACAAGCTGTAAACTTCTCCAGTTGGCTTGTAATTAATATGTATTTTCAGCAGAATAGTTTACATATTTTCTTTCCATTTGCACATTATCTTTGTCCAAGTTTAGTTTGGTTAGTCACTTACTGTCCAAATGTAATTACTGATGCTGAAATAAAGCCTGCTTCATGGCAGCAACTACCAGTTTTTAAACTGTTAATGCAGATATCCATGTTATCTGTCCCTAAGTCTTTCTCCACTCTATCTTAAAACATTTAGTTCTACCAAACAGACATTCCTGAAATAGCTGCTACCAGTCATACAGAAGATGCATATCCCTGAGTACATTCCCCAAAGTGAAATAAAGGCAATACAGGAAAGTCTTAAAATGCACAGTATTCTTAAATATATGTACAAATATATATATGTATGTATATAAAACATCATACTGCCCTAACTCAACAAATAACTGGCCAGATAGAAATTTCTGAAAAGACCGAGGGGTCTTGAATTATTATTGATAAGCGATGTGTTATAGAGTACCCCAGTCCAGTCTGAAAACTTTAACCAGGTTAATGTCATCATATGCTTCATTGGATGTCATTCACACAACTTGAGAGAAATGAGGGTTTCTGCCAAAATGTTTCTGTCTTTGATTTAGAATTAAGTTGAATTTATTTTTCACTTATTTATTTGACTAAAAGGCTACAATTTGTGATGAGACTGATCTGACAGGAGAATCCACGTGTTCACATGAAAAGAAGTTCAGAACTTCAATTAACGACTCTTAAGTTTAGGTTTAAGAAGAAAAACTCATGAATAGCTTACACTTCAAAGGGAGGAAAAATATTTCTTCTAGTCCTCCTACAGAATAAGGCATGCTATACTTAGCATCAGGCAAAGCACCTCAATTTCTTCTGAATGTCACTCTTAGGACAATAGTTCATTTTTTTGGCAGAACTCAGTGTATCCCCATTTAGCACAAACACTGTGGGCTTCAATATTTACAAAGAGCTGAACACGCTATGCCTGGGGAGTATTTCTAGATACACTGCACAAATGGAGTTTTCTTCTATTAGGTCCTTCAAAAGACAGAAACATTACAGTGTTTTAAAGAATCTAATTTCTTTATCAAGCACTAAACCATTTTGGCACATCAAGCTAAAATTTTTGTTTTGCTACCTTGAAGTAAGCCACATTTCTGATCAGTCTTCAAAAACAGTAAGCATGACAGAAACATATGAGATAATAGAAACTATATTCAGATGCATGAATATGCTATTCCTACCAAGCTTTTTGGGAGTGCGGGTAAAGGTTCCTTTCACAGTTCGGCAATGGGAGTTATCTCCACCACAGACGCCACACTTATCTTCAGCCTTATTAGAACCAATTTCCTTGTCACAACCCACTTTCTGCAGAATGAAGAGCAAAAAGAAACATGGCTTTATCATAAGCTGTAAGGTTTAGCTGTAGAGCGATGCAATCTCAAAATCAATGCATAGAGGAAATTACTAGCCAAGAGTGATCTATTTCATTTAAACACAAATTACTTGAAAGCCTGTTGCTGGGTAACGGTTTTCAGGTGAAGAACAGGAATTGATTCTCAGATTATATCCACTGTACATCAAGACTAGGAAAGATGGAAAAGAGCAAAATAGGGACAATTCCTTTCAGATGCAAAACTAAGTGAAAAAATGGCAAATGAAATTGTCAGTTGAAGAAAAGTAAATTGTTTCCGTGGAATGGACCTGTGTCATTGCTCTAATGTAATTTAATTCTGAAGTAATTATGATGAATATGATGCTGCAAATATTTCAAAGCATCTGCAAAGTCTATCTCTTTTTCTCTGATTGCTGCTGAACAGTTAACACAGCACAGTCCAAATTCAGCAATGAGCTTGAGAAGCTGTCACTCACCACACATTCTCCACGAACACAAATGCTGTAGGGATCTTTATATGAACAGCGAGTCCCATCATGTGCCAATTGTTTCATATAAGCAACATCTCCCGTTTCTTTGGACTGGCAGTACAGGTGGCATCTCTTATTAGCTGCATAGCAGGAAAACAGACGTAACTGCATAAGTTAAAAGCAATTCAGATGAGTTTCAGAAAAACATCTCACTAAAGGCATAAAGAGAATATTACAGAGATAGAATGGACCTTATGCACACACCTAGGGGGGAAAAAGCAACTAATTTGCTGTTGTGTTAATTTTGGGCCTATCAGTATCACAGATACTCTCACAGAAATCAGACTGCTTCCAAAGAAGCTCCTAGAACTGGGTTCCCCACTATTCTTCAAGTAGCCTTCAGTTTGATTCTGTTGCAGCAGTGCAGAGTTTAGGAAATTACATCACATGAAAGAATAGAAGATTTGGATTTCAAATTCCTTTAGTCTTTTTGGAAAATGCCAGCTGAACAAATATTTCTTTATCACTACTTGAATCTGATCCCCCAGCCACGCATATGAAGAGTTTCAAAGGAGATGCCTGAGGAAAAAATACTAGCAACTCAAAGCAGCTCTGAAATCCCTTTCAGCAAGCAATGAATCTTTATGCTTGAAGCTGTCCTTTTTACTCAAGATGACTGCTGGATTATATTAATGTTAAGAGTGAAGAGTCAGGCTCAGGTAGATGGATTTATCTAAGAATGGGAAAATACTTAGGACTTCTCAAGTAGAACACTAATTAGAATGCTATTACAACTTCCAGTGCAATTTCCTAGCAGCAGTCCTCATTGACCATTAACATTTTGCACTCATATAGATGAACAGCTGTACAGGAGAGACCAAGAAGAGTCCTTCATGATCTGAGCAGCAGCTTTCCACATTTGGCACCAACAGCAGAGCCAGAGCTTCACAGTGTGCTGCATTAATTGCTATGGCACCCACCAGCTATTCCATCAGGAGCTCAGAGCCTCTATGCCTCTTGCTACATCCTGTTCTCACTAGGAAGAGGATGAAAGTCAGAGGAAAACAGCTGGGCAAGGGTTGTTGAAGTTACAACTGTCTCACACTGCAGCTATTCCTTTACCCTGGACCATCCTCTTTTCCTGCTTTTTAGTCATACCTACTACACTTTTCTTACGCTGTAGTCTCTACGTGGCAAAAGAAACAAGACCCCCCCCATACGATCTGTAAGATTCCAGCACTGACTTGTAGTAAACACAAATAACAGGACTTACAGTCAGGGTGTTCATATGGCAGCCAGTGGTGTTTGCTGTTCTGATACTCAAAGTGGGAATTGCGTTGCTGACATTGCTGCGCTCTGAAGTCCTCAAAGTGCTTCGGACACTCTTCCGTATTACACAGTTGAAACTCAAAATTGACACCAACACAATCTTCACCTCCATTAATCGGCCTGGGAGAAGAAAACATCTGTGAGATTATAAAACCCTCAAGGCTTTGGGTCTACAATTTTGTTATCAGTCTTAAGTGGAATTTCACACTTGATTCTAAAGAGACAATTTCACAAAAAAGGAGTGTGAACTGACAGAACTGGAAACAAAGCAGTTACCTTGCACAGATATGCACTTGCAATGTAACCTCCATGCTTACTCAAACATCCCAAAGGCATATACTGACATGCAGAAACAATACATATACACATCTATGCTGTCAATAGTTGATTTACAACTGGAGACTATCTAATAGTTCATCCCAAAGCTTGTTGAGCTTGCACTCTATGTTCTCTTCACTCTCTTACACATCAGTTAAATTTTTCATAGGATGGTTTTCCACAGGCTTTCCTCTGGAAATTACTGGATTCACTAAAAATGATTCTGGCTCCTTGCAAAAGGTGATGTTTCAAGGGGCTTGAACACAACGTGAATTTTAGGAGATTCCATCTCAAAACACAAATGCCATTTCAGCAGACACCTACAATGATTACCAGTTGACTGGAACTACCACCAAGGCAGAAGACCTACATTGGATTGTTGCACTGGCGCGTTCGGAAGCGAACTCCAGTTCCACAGGTTCGTGAGCAGGAGCCAAATTTTGTCCAGGGTCCCCAGTTGCCATCCTGCTTCAGCTGGTTAGCATTCTTCCACATGCAGTGACCTTTGTAGCACCACTGAGAGAAAACAGGCATGGAAAGCAGGAGAGCAGAAACAAAGTCAAACCAAAGATAATCACAGTAAATTTAAAAGTGCACAGAGGTGAGCTCGTGGAGCAAAGAGGGTCTTCATACTCTAGGCCCAGGAGTGCCCAATCCCTCTCTTTCATGGCTGTGTGTTCCATGGATAAACGACAGTGCCACATCTGAGCGTGCATCCTTCTATGGGCAGAAACACGAACATCAACACGTTCTTTTGACTTCATTTAAGTCATCCTTTGTCTCATATGAATCCTAATTCCTACCATGTTTTAAAGGAATTTTTATGTTCTGACTACTGTATCACAGAATAAGATCCTTGCTGAAGATCAGTAGCTTTTTTTTCTTTTTTTCCTCATACTCAAACATTATATTCACGCAAACAAGATGCAACAGCAGGCTAGTCACTAGTCAACAAGTTTTTTGGCTACTGGTTAGGGCATTTCCAGACATCATAAGTGGCTCTCCTGTAGCTGAAAATACATGGAATTTGTTAAATAAACATTTGCTTGAGTATAATTGTATGATCAAAAATGAATTAGCAGGAGAACATTCTCTAATGTTAAAAGACAAAATTAAAGAGCTAATCCTAAGCCTGTACAAACATTTAGCCACAGGATGTCTGGACCACAAGTACTAAGAAGAGTTTGGGGCTATGTACTCCCATCCTACAGTGATTCTGTCATCTGCTACCACGGATTCTTAATGACACTTTAAGGACACTTTGCAGAAGAGAGAATAATATTAAAAATAATAATAATTAAAAAAAAAAACATAACAAAAAGGCTACAGAGGAAAATGTGAGTGCCCTACACCTCACCTATGATTTTAACACCCTTACCTTCCAAAATACAACCTATGTAACAGCCAGCTTTGTACATTTCAAAGAAGACAAAGTGGGAAATCACAGCTCCCACTTTTTCCTTTCTTTGGTGCCAACTGGGGGGATGCTGTGCAATTGTCTATTTTCCTGTGTGCTTTTCAACCCAAATTAATGCAACTGCTTGTGTGTGTTTCTTTTTAATACATAGTTGGAAATGCAATACTTACTTTTCCAGGGGCACATTCTGTCCCATCGAGTGGAGGTCCTTTCTTAGTCTTACAGAAATACGGGTTATCTGGATGGCTACACCACAACTGCTTGCACGGATCAAAGGTTCGGAACTGAAATATAGGACATTTATGAGATGAAAAACAACATTAGATTACTGATACCTTTTGGGTAAGGATTCAAACCAATCTAATCTATGCTAATCTAGCATAGCCACCAACAAGTCAAATATCTTTGGAAAGAAAATGGCAATGATTACTCCCCACATCCTCTGGTGCTGAAGGAAGGAGGAGATGCCCAGAAGTGGGAGGAAAATTAGTTTTCTCCCTTTCTTTCTTGGGATCACAGGCTTGCTGCCACAAGTCTGTGTCATGTAGACCACGCTGCTGTCCTCTTGACTGCTATACCAAATGACTCAGATGACTGGCTCTGGCTTTCACCCATAAATATCTCTCTCCTTCTTTATTGTATCTGCTTAAACTACTCCATTAACTGATGTTTAATTGTGAGAAAATACATTGCAACTATTAAATAAGGCCAAACACCAACTTGCTGAAATGAATGTTTGTGTTTGCAATGACTGCCTTGGACATACCGCTGTGCACATTTTATAGCCAACACCAAAATCAAAGCGGCACTGTTCATCCATGGAATAATTGATGCCTGGCAGTTCAGGGAGCTTCGGCCAATCATGTTCAAAAGGATCGTCAAGAAGACAGTCATAAGAGCTGTGGAAAGATGCACAGAAAAGATAGTGAGAAAATGTAGTAATTGGTTTTTTTTTATCAATACAATCAAACTCTTTATTCTGAGATGTCAATATTGTGACAATATTCATTTTCTCAAACCTGTTATTGTTATCTGAAGCACTAACAGCCCCTTCTCTAGAATACTGCTCAGTGAAATGTGACTGAGCACTGGATGAGAAGATCCTACAGAATCCCTGTATTTGCTGGATACTGAGGAGAAGCATCTCCCGCCCTTCCCTGATCTAATGGTACGTGTAGAATTTGCACTTTGTTTTCCCATCACCAGAGACAGAAAACAAGCACTTCTCAATTCTCAGTTCCAAAAGGCAACATTTCAATGTGCTTCAAACTGTAACTGTGAATCCTATATAATCCCAGTATAAGGATTATACACCTTCTGTAGTCAGAGTGAGCCTTTCCACTGACTTTACGGGGCTTTAAAATAGAACAGTAGTCTGAGAACAGGCCCTCTTACCTGAAATCTACAGCATACACAGGGACAAAAAACAGGTTATGCAAAGGGCAAGAATAAGGCCTGCTTTTTACCCATTCCTATTAAACTTTTGGTGGGCTGCTCTTCCTGCACAAGGATAAAAATCCATTTTAATCTCAAAGGTCTTGATGTAAAATTTCATGCTTCAGGTTACTGATGGGATTCCTCATTGGAATCCATGCCATAGTGGGTCAATTTAAGTTTTCACTCAGTTCTGACTTGCAAAACCAGTTATTCGCAATAAAGGAGTAAGAACTGGATGAGAAAGCATTTACATGGGAGACCATGCACATAAATACAGGGAGACATCACTCCTATGCTCTCTGTTTCCCTTTTCTCCCTAATTCAGTGACATTCATGTTGCATTTTCTCTCTTCCACAAATTTTACTAGTTCTTCTCAGCTTAGGGCTTCATCTTCCCAGTTTCACAAAAGCACTTGTACAGAAATAAAAAATGTAGGAAAAACACCAACTTCCTTAAATAAAGTCTTCCAGACAGACACCCGGTACCATTCCCAGAAGATGCAATGAGTGTTGTGTAAAACTGTAGGTGAGGATGCACTGTTCCTGATTTTGCTTTTCTAATATAGATGCATGGCAACAAAGGTGATCAGAAAACTGTATTACTGGAGAGAGCCAGAAATGGAGGTTCCTCTTCCTCACTGCTGCTGCAGTGATGGACAGGGAAGCCTACTGGAATTCCTCTGTATATCTGTTTGGAAGGAGAGCAGCCTACACAAGAGGATCCCATTCCTTCCTATCTGTGAAGCCTCAGTACCACTGCGTTTATAAAAGAGACTTCCACAGACAAGGGTTCAATTTATGACACTTGAGGATTGTTTCTCTTCTTTGCTCTCTGATGGAGGGCAGCCCATTGGCCCCACATCTCAGGGAACTGCAAAAACTTCTGTTTCCTTAAGTAAAACCACCATCAATGAGTGCTAATAAGTTCTTACTGTATATATCTTTTGAGTTCTTGGCCACTGCATCTGGACCAGTGGTAACGATGAAAGGCAGCCTGCACCAAGGGAGCCATAACACTCCCCATTGCTGTCTCATCCCCACATCTGTTCCCTTGCCCATCATGCTCCATTCCCAGCCTGAAACAAAGAATTGGTATCAGAGCTTCAGCAGTTTCTACTTTTCAACTGGTAGAACAGCTGTAAAGAAAACAGTTTCTCATGCAAATGTAGTCATTCAAGATGAAATTGTTCTCTGCATGCTACAGATATCACCTGCTTTTCAAATAGAACTTTGATGTCAAAATATAAGGACTCTAAATACTCTAGAAACTAACTAATTAGATGATGATTTCTACATTGGATAACAGAAAACGGCAGTTCTGCTTACCACTGAGCATCTCATTCAGACATTTAATTATTCATGACAGTACACTCATTTATCAAAAGCACCTACTTATACATCGAGCTACCACGGTTGTAATGCTGTGCATCCAAAGAGCTAACTAAGTTAGCATAGTAAACTTCCAAAAGTGTGCATCTGGTGCAGTTTGTCGGGCAAGTGACATGGTCACCTCACATTTGGCTAAACTCCTCCTACATTACTCTGGACAAAAACAACAACAGAGCCCACTGAGCTGAACAAGAAGCCTGCACTACTTAGAGACAACATTAATTCACCCAGCAGTTGACAGAGATCTTTCCCTGAATCAATTATTCTCAGCCTAACATTTTATCACTCCTTAACAGGTATCAAATTAACAAATCAGCACTTTCAGTCAATGAGAAGAAAGAATTTTAAGGATGCTTGGTAAGCTACCGTCTCCACTGCTTGGACTTTCCAGGTTTCTTTCTTAATTATCTCACCATCACCCTAAAGAAAATGGGTTCCTGCTCTCTCTTTCCTTTGTCTTCTTCCCTCGCTTACTTATTCATTGCTAAAACCACCGATGTGTTCCATGATGATAATATTATTTGGATGGCTGTCATGTAGCCATTAAAATTAAATCACTTTAAGTAAAAAGGAGATGCAGCACCATATTGTTAATCTAATTTTATGTTAGACTTACACGTGACCAGTTTCATGAGCAACAACAAAAGCTGATGAAAACCCATCCTCATGGTTGAGAGTACAGCTTCGGACCGGGTGACACATGCCAGTAACAGGAGCATATCCTATTGAGAGAAATCATGTCTGACTGCTTTACCCATTACATTTCACAGAATCATAGAATGGCTTGGGTTGGAAGAGAAATTAAATCCCACTCAGTTCCAACACGCAGCTGGTTACTATCCACCAGATCAGGCTGCCCAGGGTCCCATCCAACCTGGCCTTAAGCATCTCCAGGGATGGGGCATCTGTAGCTTTTCTGGACAGCCTGTTCCACTTGACACCCCAATAAATTTACTACCAGAGAAGAACCAAGGATTCTCTTCCTCTGACTGTCAATTTCTCCTGTCTTTGCAATTCCTGTCAGTGTTAATGGCTCTGACAAACTTGGTTTGATTCTGCATACATCTAGATTACTTCAGGCACTTACACTCATAAAAAAAAATGCAGAAGATTCCCATTCAATTAAAAGAGTTTTTTTCATTCCTTTGTATGTATTTATATTAATACCATCATGTAATTACTGCTTAGTAAATATTACATGCCTTGTCATCAGCAAAAGCCAAAATCTGAAGGTAGGGAGACCGCCTAAGATCTCATTCTGGAATGCAAGTCCAGACATGAATGAGGACTCAGGACTCTTGCCTAACCCTGAAAGATGAAGGAACTGACATAGACATCTACAAAATCTCTAGCCAGATGGTCAGAACATGGCACATTTTTCAAAAAGCTATGTGAAGAAGCAGACTCATGCCTCAGTAAAAGCTCACCAGCATAAAATCTGAAAAGCCTTCTTAATAAAGGGTATTTCTGACTAAAAGCAGGTCTCTCTTACCTTCTACTAAGCAAAAATTGGTAAATTCTGCACATTAGACCTGAATGATACCATGCTAAACCATGTATCATACTGCTTTTCCATGACTAGATAATGAATGGGGGCCTATTGTTCCAAGAGAAGTTGCAGAATTTGTATCAAAGGCAAAGAAACTGGGCATCGCACTAGAAGAGACTATGAAGGCTGACAGAGAGAATGAAGCCAAAGAACCATTTGCAGAGCAGCACCGGAGCTGGGCATGTGGCTCAAGTACCAGGAGGAGCTAGAGGATTTTATCTTTCTAGCAATAGATATAGAGAACATTCAGAGGGGAAACAGTGTGTTTGAGGAAACTGAGACACGGAAGACAGAGGACATTTCTGACTGTATAGTGTTAGATTTTTTGCAGTGAAGGCCATCACATTTAGTTGGACAGCTTTGTTTCAGAAACTGCTCTGTTTTCTAGTCCTTTTTTTCCACCTGCAAGCAGAAAAAAGAAGCACACAAACCCACAATGTTTCTGCTAAGAGGAGCCCTTAGTCCTACCACAGACCACAGCATACAAGATGAGTGCTAGTTTGGTCTGGGTAAATGATTATAGGGTGCATATTCTGAATGCAACTCCATGAGAACCAAAGAAATAAAAAACGGAACTAGTTTGCAATGCTGCACAGAGCAGTAACACTTCAGAAGTCTCACCCAGACTCCCATTTTTCGGCACTGACATAAATCATGCTTTGTGAATTTACTTTCAATTATCATTAATTCCTTGAGTGAAAAGGACTAATGCATCTATCAAACGAGGTAAAAAGCTAGTTATAAGAAAAAATCTACTGTGAGTGATGCAGTAAAATAAAAACAAAGTGGAATGCAAAGTACACTGAGAATTCCTCATGTGCCCTGCATGCACATGCAAAAATATATTTGTCTGAAGAAGGCAACAGTTATTTACATACTATAAGGTAAAATTTAATCTGTTGCAGTTAGATATAAGTGGCAAGGTCTACCTGGTTTTTAAAAAAGCATGTAGAATGAAATAGAGTGAGTACTTTCTCTTCACAGTGTACTAGCAAGTACATGCTTAGACTGTCCATATGGGCCTTTTCTAAACCCAGAATAGGAAACTGAAAGTTATGAGTGTATACGCTTTCCTGAACAGAATCAGGTTTCAATCTATCTTCAAAATTGAACACTTCAGGTATTTTCTGAATCAATGCCTACATTCCTTAATCTCTCTGGGCCACACAACAATGCAATTTTCATTTTTTTTCTCCTTTTCTGTCAGGCACTAGACACACACAGACAAAAACCCCAAAGTCCCGATACTTTGGCTTCAGGTCAGCTGCATTACCTTGCATACCAGCAGGCCCAAAATCTTGCCTAGTCAAGAAGATGGCATGATCATGGTGCTCAGAGTGATTGGGGTCTGACTTCTGCTGCTGGTACGCCCAGCGGCAAACATTCTCCAGGCTTCTCGAGGGATTCCCCCTTTCAATCAAGCTAATGGACTGAAAAAGCAATATATTAGAACCAGGATCTTCTAAAGGTAAGAAATTCAGTCAAGTTTTGATTTTCTTGAAGAACCAGCCATGTTCCTGTTTTTCCTTCCCGATTTGACTATCAGTCTAAGTCATAGTAATCCTCTTTGATATGAGAAAAGAAAATGAATACACTGGACATTGACTGATCCATTAAAGAGGACTGATACTCTCTCCTAGCTTTCTTGTCCTAGATCCCCAGGCAGAGACAAGGAAATGTACAAGAGTTGCCAAATCAGAGTGCTACTGCTTATATCAATATACTTGTATGTAACAGTGAATGTACATACGTTATAGCACATATTTAGGATTTTTTTAAAAGACAGTGTAACGAGCATTTATATTCTCTATTAAAATGGTGACAAATAATGGCCCTTCTGTGCAACATTCCTGAATAATATCTAGATAAAGCCTGTAATATGCAGGATAAATGTCAGAAGACAATGTGACTCAGTTTAATTAAATGAGAGTGGAGTGACAACACACAGCCTGTGTGGAGGAAGTGAATAACATAAACACAGAGTACAATGCCTCAACTGGTATAAAACACCATAGCACCAGTAAATCTGTACTGATTAATACAGATTAGCCATCTGTTTTTTGAGACTTTCACTACACAGTATGTCTACAACCTCAATGCTTCAAAAGGAAGTGACCAAATTTAATTACAAGGCAAACATCAAAGCAGGCTCAAATTCAGTGCATGAGTTAGATGGAAGGGACATGATCTTTATCAAACCTCAAACAGCACTTAGAACATTCTCATCCTGAACAACGTAACAAGTATTTGTTTCAAAGCTCTGTGAATGTATTTTACCAACAATCAACATGTTGGCACAAGCAAGTCTAAGGCAGAAAGTGGAGGAGTATGCTGTGACTCAGTAAAAGGAGTGTACAGCACAACCAGAAAAGGAGATAGTTACCATAGAAGACTGCGTGGAGACAGGGCAGCAGCAAGCTGTGTTGATCAGTCAAGTTGATTGCCACCACTAAAGTCATTTTCTTCCCTGAGGACTCACGAGGGCAAAAAGTCAGGCTGCAAGCCCAAGCCCCTGGAGTGAGACTGCAGTGGGCTGACGTGCCCCCCACATCCTCTCAGCCTATCCCTCAGCAGCATCAGCAGGATAGGGGCAGAACTAATCACTTCTGTCTCTTGAAGCAAGAGTCCTCACAGGTACTGCACCAATCACTGCAATCTTGCATTTAAGCACAGATAGTTGGTGACATTAAGAAAATACACTGGAAAAGGAGCTTTCCAGTGGAATGAATCCATCTGATATGACAAAAATATTTGATTGCTGCAGTCTTCCAGCTTCTTAGTGATAAATAAAGTGCAAAGTGACAGTGCAGCCCGTTCTACACCACTCTTCACAAAAAGGGACAGTGATGGCTCATTGCAGGAATGCGAGCACAAGCACATTTAGCATGTGTTGAAAAAGGAGGCAGCTCCCTGGAATTTACACTTTGGTAGACTTCTGCTTCCACAGCTGCTCATGTAGTTCCTATGGACTATGATTACAAAGACTACGAATGCAAAGAACTGGTTTGGAGGCTTGCTTACCTTTGCATACCCCAGCATGATCATTCGGACCAGCACAACATTTATGTGAACACCCAAGGATTCATCATGGTAAATTTCATTCACCTGAGAAAATAGAAAGGAAAACTTAAAAAGAAAAAGACATGGATGATACAAAGGGAACTTCCAAGGCCATGTATCTGTTATTTCAAGAGCTTCAACCACTATTTTTCTCAGAGGAGGATTCAAGTCTCAAATCACTTCCATGCAGTGAGAAATGTAGACTATACTTCCTGTCATCACGTACTCCCTCACTGAGAACTTTCTGAAGCACATTTCAAGACTCCTCTCAAATTTAATGGCCTTTGGATCAGAGCCAACGTAAAAATTGTTTGGAGAAAGAAAGACTACAAACCCAGCAAATACTTGTCTAAATGCTTAATTTCACTTGTTTGATAAACATGATGAGGAAAATGAAGTTATTCCTGAAAGCAAGGCTATTGCAGTATGGTCACATTCACTGAGGGATTTAAAAGCATTTAAGAGTTTGCATTAACAACAGATAAAACCATCACCATTCAGCCCACATGGCCACTTCTGCTCTGCCATCTGGCCACTCTAACTGTGGATGAACTCCAGATCCTGTTCCTATTTGCTTCGTCAACCATTTGTCTCAATTCAATCATTTTAAACACATGGGATGAATATTTTAGTGGGGAGAGGGAGCACATATTTTTCATTTTGTAAAAGATTCTTCTGCCAGTAGCTTTCGCTCAAGGAAATATGCCATTAAGTTCAGCATAGGTCTGTCCTCAGAAAATACTTGAGGATTTGACTTAAGGCCATTTCTGCATTTTGAAGCTCTAGGTTGGGAAGGCAGAGTATTCAGACAACGACACGATCAATGCGACTCCATTTCTGCACACATGTAAGCATGTGTTTAGCTTTAAAGATCTGAATAATAGTCCTGATTCTAGATCAATCTTAAAATTAATGGGCAAAGTCTTTCCAAATCCCAGAAATGCTTTGGATGTTCTCATCTAAAAGTTTTAAAGTCAACAGCATTGCCAGAGACATAAACTCAAGTATACCTCACAGAGTAATGATATCTCCAAATACACTCAATTTCTGCAAGTCAACACATTCCATTTTAAAAGTTCACCAACTGCATGAAAGCATGTAACATTTACAGGATCTGGAAAGACTTACTACGCACATTAAAAACAACTGCTAGCCAGAGAAAACACCCATACACAAGACATCCTCATGAGACATCAAAACTCTCATCTTCAAGGGCTGTAGAAAACACACAGGAAAAACTAAAATCTCACAAAGAGCCCTGACAAAAGAGTGCATGAAATAAGGTTTGCAGAGGTCTCCAGTGAGGTCTATGCACAACGTTTAAAGACAGAATTTTTATTTCAGTGTTTTTAGTTTGATTTCCAAATGAAATAAAGATCAGATACTTGCTCCTTCTGTCAGTGCTAGTGTCCCAGTACATTTGGGGCCTGTTGATTGCTTTCCAGCAACACTTGCAAAACTATAAAGACCTTGAAGAAATCAAGTATGTAGAAGATTTGAGGAAAGTAAGCAGTTTACTGGAAATAACAATGTTACTACTGCTCCCATGCAAGCAAAAACTGAATATTCTCCACTACACATAGGAAAGGAAGCTCAGAGTATGCACACAGAAGCTCTTCAATACTCCCATAATGAGAACAGCTTATATCCCATTAGAGAGCACAGCCATAGGACAGACATCCAGAGGTAACGTAGCAGTTCCACTGTTCACCAAACAGCTGAAATTTTTCACTGTTGTTTTAGTTTTGAATAATTTATTTCAGAAGCAACAAATGCTGCTGCTCTGATCTTTAAAGTCAAATTAGTACAAAAGTAACCGCATAATTCTAAATAGAGTATTAGTGGAATTTAAGTTTTAAAAAAATCATGTAGATGACAGGTCAGAAATTGTTCCTCTTGAGGACCTTCTTTGTGCCTGGTAAGGTGAGAAATGTCCTTTCACCAGAGTATGAATTAGGGAGCTAAAACATCTGCAGCTCATCAATGAAGCTACTTATTCCCATCAAAATAGAATAAATATTATATTATGGGTAATCGGTGAAAAGTAAATACCACTGTTTGGAGCAAGGTTGGTATATTTAAGCAATATTTAGAGATCTTTTATTTTTTTTTTACTTAGGCTAAACAAAACTTTCCCCTTCCCCTGAGGCAAAAAAGGTCGTTCTGAGTTGTCCAGTTTGTGGGACCTGGCACAATGATTTCAGTCCATGGTTTTAAAAAATGCAATCCCTTTTAGGACTAACTGAGAACAGACTGTCAGCAGGATAGTTTTACAAGAAATGAGCACGCAGCTTAGACTGCTCGCCTCATGAAGCAATTATTCCAAAGTTCAATTATTCATATTTTCTCCTTAGCAATGCAATAGTATTGCTTCCACCAAAGTTCATCTCAGAAAAACGTTCACAACTTCCCCTGCGCCAAGAAACAACAAGCTTCCCAGAAGTGACCTTCAAAAAGACATAAAGGATCCTGGAACCAACTGAAAGTTTCAAGTCTTCCTCAACACTTTTCTACAACACCTGTTTCTATGGACTGCTTTGGAAGGATGCATTGCAGGATTCCCATGAGGAGCAAGCTCATATATGCTCTCATGACCTAGACACAGGAAATTTTGGAAACCTGTAACCTTGCTAGAAGGCCACAAATCAAAGTAAGTGCTGAAAACTGTCAGTGTAGACTGTAGCGCTTTCAGACTGCTGTAATTGCATCTATGCTGTGGTTATATTGGCAAAACAAATTACATTCCAAGATACTGGTACTGGTACAAAATGCATATATAAATCACACCCCAGGAAGCTTGATTTGTCTAAGCTGAACTTGGGAAACATATCACAGATGTCCAGCTGGCCATACGGATTCTGGTGCAGTATTTAAAAGGAAAAAGTGATTAGGTTGAATTCAATAGTAATATACACAAGAAGTAAATCAGCGCTCTGCTTGGGACAGTGGTGACAAGTGGGAGACTCCACATATGGGACATATCTGTTTACTAAATGGGTAATCATTCAAACAGACAACATAAATGTACCTAGCAGGAAACCCTACAGCTACAGTAAGAAGTACTGGAAAATGGAGATAACTGCAAACCAAGGGATTTCAGGGCCTTTGTGGACACTCACCTCTCTACACATTATGAATGCCAAGGGTGAACCCACATTCCTAAACTGATGTACTTGTAAACTGCAGTGATGAAATCAAAGATGCGAAATCAAATGTGCTCTTAGTAGCTGGCCTTTCAAATTTGAGACAGACAGAAAGCAGAGATGTACAGTTGCTTTTGTGCAGGTACCGTGCAATTCCTATTCATGGTTGCCCACCCTCCCTCCCTTCATGGTGTGCAGGCAGGGGCTACAGGTTAACCCAAAGAAATGTGCTGACGTTTTCCTCTGCTCAGTTACAGTAAGCTCCTCTCTCCTTACACCAAATGTTTCATTTGACTGTCCTTGGATTTGGGGGGCAGTACAGCTTCAAGGACTTTCTGCCTTGATAAAACTACTTACTTTTCCATGTCTGACTTGTGCAGGGGGAAGTGCAGTTTATTGATTAGCAGGAAAGTTGAGTAATTCAGAATCTAATGATGAATAACATCATCCACTGTACTGCTCGCATCACTGGAAATTGAATGGCTTGAAAATACAGCCTTTTATTGATCTATTGACTACGCATAGGTACAAACCACTAGATTAAAAAGCAAGGAGTGAGATGAGCTCTTTATCAAAAGCTAGGGGCAAAATTAAATTAAAACTGACAAACTAATACATAGGAGAAAGTATAGAAATAGCTCTCCCAACCCATAACCTTGACAGACAACAAGATAAGTTACAATCTTTGTCACTATCTACAGAATAGGCTATTTGCTGATAAAGAACATCCCTCAGTACTCACTGTGATCTGGAAATGTGAGAAAATGCCTGCTTTCCACAGAAAACCAGGCTGGAAAATGACAATTCAAAGTTTCAAGTGAGAGAACACAAGTGGTCTCTCCCAACTGAACACACAACCTGTAGTCCAGCTGTCAGCAGTGAGACTGCTGCAGTCACAAGTAGCTTCGCAGTACTGCTGTGCCTCCCAGAACACCACTCAGCAGAGTGAAAAGAACTGGTAGGAATAGTGCTCAGTTTGGGCTTTTTTGGCAACGTTATACACATGTCCTCAAAGTAATTTTTAAAAGCTTTGTATGCTTCTGTGTCTGTCATCTGAATCTGCTTTTTTTGCAATATGGGTTTTTTTTCCCTCATTTCCTGTTTCCACTGCATGTTTTTTAAGTCTTGTAACAACTATTACGTTATTAAAATCTTGACAGGAAAGCCTTGTTGTTATAAAATACCATTAAATCTAAAAAAAAAAGTAGCAATCTTCACTGTAATTGACCTATAGCTCCTGAAGGATGAGGTCTTTCACCTTGCACTGGTACTGTATGGGGAAGTACTCCCAGTAGATGGAGCCATTGACGTTTAAGAAAACACACAACTCAACCATGTTTCAGTTCCACTGTTTGCAAAGCTAAATGCTTTTAAGACTAAAAAGCCAATATTCTGAAATCTTCTTCAGTGAAGATTTATTTCGGAAAGAAAAAACAATACAACAGATTTTTTTCATTTCCTGCCAGCAATGCTCTGCATTAATTCATGCAAAGAACAAAGACATGCTTATAACACCTCACATCTGTTAATTCTTCCACAACAACGGTGGCCAACGATCAGAATTAAGGCACAGAGGAGATGACAACTTCTAAATACAACACTCAGTGACTGCTTATTTCAAGATCCCTTATCTGGTAACATAAAGAGAAGACTGCTCAAAAATCATGTTTGTGCTGATGATCAGTGAGGTGTATGACAAAAAGAAAACAATTCCTTGCAAGTCTTGTATCAAGGTTATTTTTTTACTCTCAGGCATAACTTTTAATCTCAAACCTCCTAGATGCAAATATTCTCTTGCTTCCATGTTTGCCCAAACTACCTTAGCTCCTATTTCATGTTATTCAGTAACATCAATGATCTGTGCAGTTTAGCATAGTCACAAGCTACTGCTCAGGGAAAATC